CCTTCCTTCCTTCCTTCCTTCCTTCCTTCCTTCCTTCCTTCCTTCCTCCCCCCCTTCCTCCCTCCCTCCCATCAACTTCCTTCCTTCCTCCCTCCCTTCCTCTGCCCTTCCTTTCTTTCCTTCCTTCCTTCCTTTCCTTCCTTCCTTTACCTTGTCCTTCCTTCCTTCACCCTACCCTTCCTTCCTTTACCCTGTTCTTCCTTCCTTACTTTACCCTATCCTTCCTTCCATTCTTCCTTCCTTTGCCATGTCCTTCCTTCCTTCCTTTACCCTGTCCTTCTTTCCTTTCTTTACCCTATCCTTCCTTCCTTTGCCCTGTCCTTCCTTCCTTCCTTTACCCTGTTCTTCCTTCCTTTACCCTGTTCTTCCTTCCTTTTTCCTGTCCTTCCTTCCTTCCTTCCTGTCCTTCCTTCCTTCCTGTCCTTCCTTCCTTCCTTCCTTCCTTCCTTCCTTCCTTCCTTCCTTCCTTCCTTCCTTCCGTTCCTGTAAAGCAAGACATTCTCCACCAAGCCCAACAAAAAGGGGGGCTTCTGGAAAATGTAACCACTACTAATTCAGTATCAAAGTAGGCTGATCACGAAAAAAACATGAAGATTTGAGCCGTATTTGTCTTCCTAGCACAGGATATTATCTTTCTGAAATGGAATAGGTTTGCTTTGGATGGCTTTATCTTGTACTGGGTTCACCCAGTACTGCAAGCTGTTCAAAGCTACCCAGGTTTCTAAGCCATGCAGGTGAATACTCATGGCTGTCTTCTAAAGCTCCAGTCAATTTCCTTACTTAGCCTCCGCATCACATTCTTTTCTCAGCCAGAAGCCTCCACCTTGACTTTTCACAGACCTGGCCTGCATATTTTAATATTAAATGTTTGCAACAAACCTGCAGAATACTAAGATTCAATGCCATGCAATGAAAAACCTGCTTTTATTCCTATCAGCCCAACAAGATCACTGTTTACCATACAATCTGAAGTCTGACAAGGGGGAAAGAGCAGCGCCACACGAGAAGGTTGGCTCTTTATTTTCTTCTCCAGAAAAGTGGATGTATGAACTCAAGTAGCCGCCATAATCCTGAGAGGCAAAGAGAAGAGGAAAACAGATGAAAGGGGGTACGTGCGGAGGGAAAAAATAATCAAGCAACCCTGAATTTCCATGGAGCTCTGGTTTGCCCCTTTTCAAATACTTAAGAAGTGACAATGTCTTTAGTAAATCTTGTCTGGGAATCTTGGGAGTACCAAAATCTCAAGAAGGCAGTACAAATAGTGCTTGATGTCAGGATTCCGGCAGTTACCCCAATTAAATCAAGAGTCTCGAGCCAAACTTCCAAAACTTCAAAAGGATTTATTGGGAGTTAACATATCCAGAACTGCCTGGGTGTAGCCGACTCTGAGACACATCATTCATTGTCACCCTTGACCCTGGTTTTCCCCCACCCCTCTGGGTGTATCGTAATTCATATTCTCCAATGGGACACATCCATAGCCAAGAGTCATCAATCATGTTCTCCAGTTAGAATTTTGCACGGCAGAAATTTTAGTCACCTGGTTACTATCTTTGAAAACTATTTATGGAATGCACTTTCGGTTTCCAAGCTGCCACACTCCTCCCCCTCCCTTTCTTTTCTAAAAAGACCATATAAATATTTTATGAGTTGATAGTTGACATATGATTGTAATGAAGCCTGGCCATTATGGTCGTATGTCGGGACAGCTGGAATTTGAGTCGGCTGTGCAACTGACCTGATTTTGATGAACTTTCTCCCCTCCCCCAAAAAAAATTTAAATAAATGAGACAGTCATAAAGTGAATGCCACAGCCGTTAAGTGAACTGATTGCTTACTATGGCTTACTTTCTATAAGAATTGGAATTGACTTCTGGTTTTCAGCAAAACGTGGTCATGTGGCTATGGGATGCTGTGAATGGCCACAAATGTGGATACAATGCTGAACGCCCGAATTGCGATGATGTGACCATGGGAGTGGGGCCAGGCTTGACCACAGGAGCTGGTCGTAACTCTGTTTTTCCAAGTAGACTGCTAAGCGGTCGGTTATAACTCAAGGACTTCCTTTACAGAGTTCATCTCTATGTTCTCATTGGCATCTTTTTCATTTTCGGGAGGATTCTGCTTCTAACCTATTCAAGGAGCACCAGAACCGGGCAGTTGCTCTTCCCCTGAGGCCTGAGCCCCGTAATTTGGGGAGAGTTACCTGCAGGATTAGTGTTGTGATTCACCGGCAGCCTGTGCAGACGACAGTGGAATCGGACAGTGGGGAAGAATGGGGACCAGTCAGGGAGTCTGGAGACGGCTTGGATGAGAGTCCTGCATCTGATACAGAGACGGGGCCAGGACCATCTGGGGGTGGGGTGCTGCCTTCGGACCCTCTGGAGTCTGGCAGCAGTGAGGCAGAGGACCCAGGGGAGCCTGTTCCCAGTGTGCGTGTGTGCAGAGCTGCTAGAAGGCAAGAGCAGCTGAGACAAAAGGGGCGACTCGGGAGTAAGGCTAGGAGGTGATTTCCCCTCCCATAAGGTATAAAGGACAGGCAAAGATGACGAAACCTTTGCAGGAAGCAAGGTTGTTTGTTCGGTTCAGATTCATTCTTGAAGTTCTTTGTACTTTGGTTGGTTTTTTTTTTTCTACTTCATTTGACACTTCTGTTATTGGCAGCACTTCACAGGAAAGAAAGGTGGGTGCTTACCTCGAGAGACTGTTTGAGAGTCATTACCGGCTGGGAATGAAAATAGTTCCCAGCGTTGCAATAAAATAAGACTTGTTTTTAAAATAAGTATGTGTGTAATTACGGACTCGGAAGTTTTGGTCAGAACTAGTAGTGCTACAAGGACTTTGCCCCAATGCAGTGGAGCAAAGACTGTATCCTGCCTGCAGCCCATTGGTATCCCTACTGAAGAGCTTACAGCCATCTTAAGGGGTGTGTCTTCCTTTTATTCTTATTCTTTTGTAAGTCTGGCTTACATGTTCCTATGTGTGTATGTGGGTACTTGTGGGCAACATTTGAGAGCCATAACATTTTTCAGAAGTGGTTTGCCATTCCAGTTGGATTTGTTCCCAAGGTGGGATTAGAATTCATAGCCCCTCCACCTTCATAGTTTCCCTCCAACTTTCTACCCAACAGTGTCACTACAGTCTCAGAATAAATCTTAAAACATAGCCAGTCCAGCAAACTGCAGATCAAAATTCTGGATGACTAGCGGTAGCAGTAAATAGCAGTGTTTCAAGGACACTCACCTTCCCAAACACAGCAACTCGAGTCTTATCAATAAATGCCTTTTCCAGCATTGCCCTGGGGGAAAAAAAAGATATGATTATGTTCAAGCTAACTCCTGTTAACTGTAGCAAGGCCCAGCTTTGCCTTGATATGTAGAAGTACAAAAGGGAGAAATTGCAAAAGGGAGAAATTGTACATTTGAACTCCTTGGTTGATTTTTGATTCAAGTGTACAGATTGCCTTTCTCCAAAATTTACAAATGATGTAACATTTTGAAATAAACCATTGCAAGAACATTGAGTAGACAAGTGACTGAATTCAATTTCAGCGAGTTAAGGTCATTCACCGAACAGCCTCTGTTTGATCTTTTTCTTGAGCGGTGCCCAATCTTCTTTTAACGTCATGCAAGAGTTTAGTCCCTTGAAATCCACTTCCACGCCCATCAAATTTCATCACGATGGCACCATGGGAGCTGACCATGACACTCTCCCAGTTCACTTCAAACTTTTCTGTGACGCTCTGGGTGCCTGGGGTTCCATCCCTGAAAGAGAAACAAAACAAGAACAACTTAGTTGTTCTGTCGCGGGAAAGATCTGACTCGAGACCAGTGTGAATTCAGCTCTTTATTTGCTATCAGTAACTTCAACAAAACCGGAGCCACTGCAGCCTCTTTTATAGCGGCTGCTCGCGGCTCGCGGCCAATGACAGCTTCTTAAACTTCCCGCTGTCAGGCGGACCAATTGCAACAGTATTCAAGTAACCAATCAATAGGTGGCAATGGCGGTCCAATCAGAATGTAGTATTACGAGTATGCAAATATCTATATACAACATTAGTGATATTGCTGAGGGTGGGAAAAGAACCAGGAAAAAAAGGGAAAATACACGAGTGCAGTGATGGCGAACCTTTTTGTTGTGGTATGCCAAAAGCGCGCCGCCTGCATCCATCATTCAATGCACCCCTCCCCCCTGCACGTGCACCACCCGTTCCCTGCCTGCTGACCTGCATTGCGCATGCACGCACCTCCCAGTTGATTTTTGGCCCATTTGAGGCCATTTCCCCCCTCCCAGAGGCTCGAGGGAAGTGTCTGCAGCCTCAGGAGACCAAAAAAATGGGCCTTCCGGAAATACCGGAAGGGCCCGTTTTCAGCCTCTGGAGGGCCCCTGGAGCCTAGGGGAGGCCATTTTCGCCCTCTTGGGGGCTCAAGGAAAGCCTCTGCAGCCTTTGGAGACCAAAAAACAGGACCGTTTCGCCACTTCTGATATTTCCAGAAGGCCCGATTTTTGGCCTCCTGAGGCTGCAGAGGCTTCCTTCAAGCCTCCGGGAAGGCGAAAATGGCCTCAAATGAGCCAAAAATCAGCTGGAAGGTGTGCACATGCGTAGTGCAGGTAAGTTTGACCGGGGCTCGCGTTCTCGCACAAATGGCTCTGCGTTCGCCATCACGGCACTAGTAGCAACGAACAGGCCCTCTAGGCAAAGATCCTGATGTATATGAAAAACATGAGAAAATACTCTGCCTTTTTCAGAATCAGTTTGGTCTAATGGCTAAGGCACCAGGCTAGAAACTGGGAAACTGGGAGTTCCAGTCCCGCCCATAGCAACTTGAGAAATCGTGGGCCAATCACCAATTCTACTCCTACCTTAGACATTAAAGTCAGATAAGTGGCATTGCATTTGGCTAGTTACTAGCAGATGTTGAGTTCTAGTCCTGTCTTAATCATGAAAGCGGGCTGGGTAACTCCAGACCAACTCACCTCGCAGGGTTGTTGTAGGGAAAATAGATCAAAAAATGTATTAGGTATATTTGCTGCCTTGAGTTATTTATAAAAATTATAAAGGTAAAATATGGATGGATGGATATAGATGGAATAGAAGCTTTCTAACAAATAGGAAGCAGCAGGTGAAGCTAGGGAAAATCACACCGAACATCTGTTCAATTAGCATAGAAACCTCCCAGGGCTGGGTGCCCTCTCTATTACTCTTCTCTCTCTATACCAGGGGTGTCAAACTCGATTTCATTGAGGGCTGCATCAGGATTATGTTTGACCTTGGGGGCCCAGGGTGGGCGTGGCCAGCTCGACATCACTCGTGTCAGGAGCGCCTGTGGTGGCTGGAGCGCTCTGCCAGCGAAAACGGGCTTTCAATCTCCATTTTCGGCTAGGACGGCCTCCTGTAACCCTCTGCTAGTGAAACCAGAGCTTGGGAGGGCCATGTGTAACCCTCCCAAGCTCCATTTTCACTGGTAGAGGGTTGTAGGAGACTGTGGCAACCGGGAGTCCGTTTTCACTGGCAGAAGCACAGCAGGCTAGTCCTTCGCTGTTTCCAGGGGTTTTAGTACCACATTTAGGATAAAACCACCTAGCTCTTTAAAATCTGTTTGAGAAGTCAGTGTGAGGTTATATAAGAAGTGGCCAAAATCTCACCTTTAAATTTAACTTTAGAACCTTTTAGACTTTCATCCACCAAGAAATCAAGCAAACGCTGCAGGAACTGTCAAGGGAGATGAATGTACCGTGTTTCTCATATAATAAGGCCGGGTCTTATTTTTTTTTGAGCCCCGAAAAAATGGCTAGGCCATCTTTTCGGGGGTGACTTAATTCCCCCCCCTTGCATCCTCGGGCAAGCGGGCGACGACGGCTTGGATGTTGACCTCGGTGTTGGTGCGGCACTTCGTATCGGGAGACCTTCCACCACCGTTGCTTTCTCTTCTCCCGTGCTGCTGCGGCATTTGGAGCAATGCCATGGCATTTGGCGCAGCCACGCGGGGCTGGCCAGGGCTCCTCCCTGCAACAGGAGCCCGGTGGAGACACACAGCTTCAGGCGCTCCTGTCGCTGCCTTCCCGGGCATCGTTCGAAGGCAAAGCCCATTCTTTTAAAAACGACGCCCTACTACTGGTACAACAAAGCCTCCCCTGCCCAAGAGGGAAGCGGATCTCCCAGGGCCGCAGGCGAATCTCCCGGGGCCGCAGTGCAGGATTGGCCCACCCCGGGAGAAGCGCCCAGCCACCATCCCTGCCTGGCGCTGGGCAGAGCACAAAGAGCTTCGCCTGGGGCGCCCAGCGCAGCTGACAGGCGGGCCCTCCTGCCCGGTGGCGGAGCTCTGGCCAAAGCAGCGAGCGCCTCCCCGCCGGGCCATCCGCTCATCCCGCCAGGGCCGCGCCAGAGCTGGGTGGGCTTGGCAGAGCCAGGAAAGCGAGCCGCGGGTGTGCCCCGCCTGCCAAGCGAAAAAGCCGGGCCGACCCGAGCTTGGCTTCCTTCCCAATTACCTCCAGCCTGACCCTGAAGTGGCCACTGGGAGAGGCTGCCCGAGGCAGTGATAGCGCCCACCCATCCATGGACAGGGAGGCAAGGCAATGGCCCGCGCCACGTCCTCGAAGCTGAGCCCTGCCGAGTGAGCGCCTCTGCCTGATGCCCGTGCCGCTGCAACGTTTGGAGCTGCCGGCACATTTGGAGATGCGTGGGGACCGGGATGGGCTGGGTGAGGGGTGGAAAGGACGGGCGGCTTCAGGCTCTCTGTTAGACCTGCCGTCCAGGGAAGCAGCACATGAAGCTGAGTGTCTCTGCCAGGTTCCGGTTGCAGGGAGGAGCCCTGGTTGGCTGCGCGTGGTTGTGCCAAATGCCACGTGGCTATGTCAAACACCGCGGCGTTGCTCCAAATGCTGTGGCAGCACAGGGAGAAGGGAAAGCAACAGTGGCAGAAGGTCTTCCGATACAAAGTGCCCCACCAATGCAGAGGTCAACACAGGCAGCACCATATCCGGGTGTGCAACAAAAGTACTTCCTAACGGCAAGCCCCCCCGCCATTCCCCCCCCCATTTTGCATGTTTTAATATAGGCCTTAATTTGGGGGGGGAGGGGCTTAATTTCATTTCATGCCTATAAAACATGCCGGGACTTCCTATTGGGGGAGGCCGTATTGTTGGAGAAACAGGGTATTTACAAAAAGAAAAAGGCTCACTTTTCCTCACTTCTTTTGATAGCTCTTTGGTGGTAGAAAAACTTCTTCTCCAGCCCAGTTGGAGACCATACATGAATATCAGAGGTGGTATCCAGCAGGTTTTGACCAGTTTTGGAGAATCGGTAGCGGAAATTTTGAGTAATTCAGAGAACCGGCAAATGCCACCTCTGACTGGAGATTTTACAGTATCCTTCCCCTGCCACGCCCACCAAGCCACACCCACAGAACCGGTAGTAAAAAAATTTGAATCCCACCAGTGATGAATATATGTGCATTTGTGTGTGTGTGTGTGTGTGTGTGTGTGTGTGTATTTGAGATTGAACTGATTTACATTTACTTAGTGCCCACCCAAGTCATGCTTTTTCATTCTGAGAGTCCTAATCAAGTGTTGTTATCCTGATGAGCACCAATCTTCCCTGGGTATTTGCATAACGAAGCACATTTTCCCAAGAGATAATTTTGATGTGAAGTAAGTGGGAGGGTTCGTGAAAGGAGTTTTTGTTCTCCCTTTAAACTGGCACACATTTGGACGTTTTAAAAATATATTTATTTGTTGGTTTATTTGCTGCATTTCAGAACTGCACATCTCCATCTGGCTCCACTCTCAAACATGGGCTCTGCATGCTTGTGTGGGGAGCCCAAAGGAGCATGAAGCCATGGGGTTGTGGTTGGTGCCCTGAAAGCAGAGGTGGTATTCAGAAGGTTCTGACCAGTTCTGGAGAACCGGTAGCGGAAATTTTGAGTAGTTTGGAGAACCGGCCAATACCACCTCTGACTGCTCCCCCACCCATCTATTCTCTGCCTCCCATTGAGTCCCAGCTGATTGGCTGGGTCTTCTTTGGTTGCCCTGAACAGGAGAACGGAGCTGGAAAGCAGGTTAGTTGGGTTGGGTGGGAATGGGGATTTTGCAGTATCCTTCCTCTGCCACACCCATCAAGCCACGCCCCCAAGCCATATCACACACACCCCAAGCCACGGTCTCATCACCGGTAGTAAAAATTTTTGAATCCCACCACTGCCTAAAAGTCCCTCCTTTCCCCTTTTCAATTGATTTTTAACAGGGCTTAATTATTCTTACCTCCCCCAATAATAATAATAATAATAATAATAATAATAATAATAATAATAATAATAATAATAATTCTGAAATTTTAATTCTAACATTTTAGTTTTTACGTATTGTTTTTATATTCTGACATTTTATTATACCCCTAACCCAGAGAACACCTCCCTCAATTGCAAAGGGCACCAACTAGCCCCATGCTCTATGCTCCTTTGAACTCCCCACATGAGCATTCAGAGCCCATGTTTTGACTTTCCGGAAGGCCAGGAGAGTGGCACCGCATCTCACCTCCAGAGGGAGAGTATTCTATATCAGTGATGGCTAACCTTTTCATGGCCGCGTGCCGAAAGTGAGAAAACAAACGCGTGCCTGTATCCATAATGCAATGTGCGCAGGACACACCCCTGCTCATGCACACGTGGCCCGCCCACATGCACTGCATGCCTCTGTGCATGTGCACATGACCCCCCGCGCCCTGCCCCCTGTGCATGCGTGGCAGATATCCGACAATCAGCTGGCTGGCGGGAGGCGTGTGCGCATGCACAGTGGATCTGTTCCAGGCAACGGCTTGCATACCGGCAGAAATGGCTCACTGTGACATAGGTTTGCCATCACGGTTCTATATTCTCGCCAGAGTTTTTTTATTTGACGGAGTCTGCACCGTATCTTCCCTCTTGAGCAGATGGGACTGGCCAAAGTATTGGGACAAAGCTAGTTTTGTAGTGTGCTGGTCAGACAGCATTATTTGATGCTATGTTACTATTTACTGTTTACTTTAGTTGTTTACTTTAGTTGATAGTTGGTAATGGAATTTATAATTCCAGGCGGGGAGTGTGCTGGTCAGACAGTATATAGTTAATTGGGAATTGGGAGCTGTCCCCTTAAGGGAATGCCTCATGGGAAATGTAGTTAATGCCTCATGGGAAATGTAGTTCATGTCATGTGGTCACATCTGTAATCCTGATTGGTCACTGAACTGACCTCTAGTTGGGTTGGGGGAAGCCTTTGTTCTTTCCTTGCCTGGACCCAGCAGCGTGCTGGATCCCTTGCTGTATCAATATGGGATGAAGATAACCACATTTTCACACTATGAAGTCGACTGTGCAAAGAATTGGACATTAGATGGATCTCGACATAACCGTGAGTTTAACTTCGAGGATGCCTTGTGACCCAATAAAGAAACATTGTATGGAAGCCTTTGTAGAGTTTGTTTGTCTGTCTTTATATTCAGCCAGAAATTAAAAGACAGAACACGTAGGTAGCCTGGTCCATATCACATAAGGCTTTATAGATCACAACCAACATCCTGAATTGAACCTGGAAGCAAACAGGCACCCGATGCAGCCAACATATACTAGCGATACGGCTGTTTTCCTGTTTGCTTTCAAGAAAAATAAGGTGGGGATCATGGATTCTTCTTTTCAAACCTGTCTGTCCATCAATTCCTTTTCTAGGAATTGCTAGGCAATTCACCAGGAAATTATATATATACAAAAGTGACAATCACTTGCCTAGAGGGATTTTAAGATACGGGAGGTTAAAATAGGATTCCGTCCTCATCAAGACGTTTAACGAGGGAAGTTAATTGACTATGTTATGGTGAACTCTTTGTCTTAGGTTATGTGTCAAGAGCTACCTCATTGATCCTTTAAAACTAGCAAGCATAGGTCACAAGGGCATCTAACTGGGTAATGGGATTGAAAAAGCCAAGATGGCATCAAAACTCTGCTCCTTATTGACATGGAACCTGCAGGTACAGGAAGTGCTTGAGTTATGACCGTAATAGAGCCGATCTATTAGCGTCCTAAATCATTCTAATACATCTTTTTTTAGCTTTCTTTAACATACACACCTCCAAATTCATTTACGCTAATCTTTTACAAACTTTAAGAACTATGCCAACATTATACACTAGAGAAAAAAAGAAAAGAAAAAAAGATAGAATGCATTTTCAAACCCACTTTATAAGCACAGAACCATGTATTAAAGCTTCCCCCCCCCCCAATTACACCTGCCAGACCAATAAAAATTCATCCTAATCCCAGTTAATTTATTCATTTTAAGGCACTTCCTTTGACTTTTCCTCATAGAATACAAACGTTCTTCTTCTTCTTTGGAATGTCTAATAGATAAATATAAGCTTTTTTCCCTCAAGAGATTCTTAACCATGTTAATTTCCATAAAGAAAAAAAAAAAAACCAGCTTCTCTCTTGAGGAATGTAGATTAACTTGCAATTCTTCTTTCAATTGCATGGAGGGAAACTGTGATCAAACCATGGTTATAGTTGATACCTTTGGTATCCGGTTTATATTCCCATATTGCATTAAGCCCTTTGCATTGTCAAATACTTGTGCCATAACCTCAGTGGTTGTGACAATCATAAAGTGACCAATCTGATTTTACAACTGTTTTTGTGGTGGTCGTTAAGCAAAGACTGTGGTTGTTAAGCAAACCAATAGTTTACAGTGGGCATTTTGCCCAAAAACTGGAAGCAAAACCATATGACTGTGGGAAACTGGAAATGGCTGTACGTGTGTTCCGGTAGGTCTATCAGAACTTCAAACAGTTGTTAACGGTTGTTACAGTTGTTTGAAGTTGAGGACTTACGAACAATTACCTAGGGGTGGGCCTTTGATTGTGTGATTGCAGGCACCATCCTGATTTTTTTATCCACCAATCCTGTCACCTTTAGAATTTATGAAGACCAGAGGTGGTATCCAGCAGGTTCTGACCAGTTCTGAAGAACTGGTAGTGGAAATTTTGAGTAGTTTGGAGAACCGGCAAATACCACCTCTGACTGGCTCCGCCCCACCTATTCTCTGCCTCCCATTGAGTCCCAGTTGATCGGCTGGGTCTTCTTTGGTTGCCCTGCACAGGAGAATGGAGCTGGAAAGCAGGTTAGTGGGGTGGGGAGGGAATGGGGATTTTACAGTATCCTTCCCCTGCCACGCCCACCAAACCACACCCACCAAGCCATAGCACGCCCACCAAGCCACACCCACCAAGCCATACCATGCCTACCAAGCCACATCCACAGAACTGGTAGTAAAAAAAATTGAATACCATCACTGATGCAGACTATATTTGGTTCAGTTATAAACCAAGAAAGAGAAATAGTTGAAATAAAAATCCCGAAGGCCTTTAGAGAGGAGAGAAGGCACACTAGCCCAAGGGACAAATCTTGTTTTAGACCCCAGGAAAGCATCCCTTTGCCCTCCAGGGATTAAACATGCATGTATCTGAACAGATCATGCTAAGTAAAGGAACAACATTAGGAACATAACACTCTCAATCCAAAACAAGCATATTGAATTCTGATATGGGGCATCCTTGTTTTTTTGCCCTGGCTTAAAACATATCATTTACAAGCAGCAACCTCAATTTGGTCTACAGGGACTAGAAACACAGAGATTGCGAGTTCTAGTCCCGCCTTAGCCATGAAAACCAGCTGGATGACTTTTTGAATCCCCAGGAGACTGTGAGTTCTAGTCTCTCTCTCTCTCTCTCAGCCCAACCCACCTTGCAGGATTGTTGTTGTGAGGAAAAACAAGAAGAGTCGGGGTTATAAGGCATGTTCCTCTCCTTAAGGTATTTGAAAGAAACAATAAAGGCAGGAAATAATTAAAATAAGTATTCTTTCTAGGAGCCACCTCCATATCTGCTAAGTTTCCATCCCCATCTGGTTTTTCCTAAGAAAGCCACATCCTCACCCTTCTGACATTTCCCTTTTCTCAACTCGGCTGGCATTGCTGACTATAACTGGGAAATTATACCATTGTTAACATTACTCACACAATGAGGAGCAAAGGGTAGTGCGTGTTTTCCATGAAAACGGCTGGCTTTAAAATTTGTAGTGGCAATTCTGCAAACAGAAGAAAGGAGAAGAAAGGAGGAGAGAAGCATTTAAGTACAGGAAGGCTGTCATTACAACGAACAACCTTTTATTTCTTTTCTTTTTAGTATACTCGGGTACTTTTTGGTGGGAACAAAATGCCAGTATGAGAGAATGGCTCTGCAAATAACACCCTAGCAGAACAGATTCTTTTGGAAAGAAAATTGGCACTGCTACACAAAAGGCCATACATCTTACACCGTGGTTCTCCGAGGCACTTGGTCATGAATCAAACATGCAATTAGGGTGTGCTGATATGTGTTTTTTCCCTCTCCCAGCAGGTGGAGGAATGACAGCCCTATCAAACAATGTTTTCAAGGAGAGCAAAGGAAGGAGAAACTCAAAGTAAAATGCAAATCCTCTTCTCTAGAATGGAATAAAGTTGTTCTTTTTCCCCCCTCACAAGGGATTTAAGATTAGGTTTTCTTCAAGGGCATTTTAAACTCCAGGACTTGGACTATCCTTTGCCCCTGGAAATAATATAAATTGGATGAATTAAGAAGAGACGCCTTTATGGAAACATGTATTCTAAAGCAACAGCTAAGTGTGCTTTTTCTTCAATGTATATTAGCACAAACATGCTGCTCCCAAGCTGATCCTTACTTTTATTTGGTTTTTAAAATGTGAGTCTCCACACATTTACCAAAAGGATGGAAATTAAATTTCAAATTAGTGGCATTTGAAGGGCAGTAAACAGCCAAATGAGTTTTAGTGGTAAGCCTTTTATTTTATTTGGTCTAATTTATTGTTGTATGAGACTTGTAATAGAGTATGGATTTGTAGCTATGATTCACATGGAGATCCCTTGGGAAGGCAGAATATAGAGAATTAAGCAAAAAGGCTATTCTTGGAAATCTTTTAGGATCACAAAGAAGGAATTGTGCACTATAATTATCACATCATATTTGTGGATTTTCCTACGGTGAAGAGTTAAATTACGATTATTTGTGTTGAATTTTACCCAATGCATCCTGTTTTTGGACAATCCTTGAAATCCTACTGGGCAATCACTTAAATATGAGCTAGCAGTATGCGGCAGCAGCCCAAAAAGTCAGTGCAATCCTAGGCCGCATTAATATGAGAAATATTAGTACTGTTTTATAAAGCCTTAGTACTGCATCCAGTTTTGGTCACCACAATATTAAAAAAATATTGATACTCTGGAAAGAGTACAGAAAATAGGGACAAAGATGATTAGAAGGCTGGATGCTAAAACATATGAAGTTGTAGGACTTATGACAGTTGTAGGAATTATGTCTAGTCTAGTGAAAAGGAAGACTGGGGTGAGAAGATAATCGTGTTTCAACATCTAAGAAGCTGCCACAAAGAAGAGGAGAGTCAATCTATTCTCCAAATCACCTGAAGATAGGACAAGAAGCAATGGATGGAAATTAATCAAGGAAAGAAGCAATTTAGAACTAAAGATATAAATTTCCTGATAATGAGAACAATTTATCAGTGGAATGGCTTGCTTCCAGAAATTGTGGGTGCTCCAACACTGGAGGTTTTTAAGAAGAGATTGGACAACAATTTGTCTGAAATGGTATAGAGTTTCCTGCCTCAGCAGGGGATTGGACTAGAAGATCTCCATGGTCCCTTCCAACTCTGTTATTCTTCAAAAATCACAAAATTATGGATTTAATCCAAATGTGATTGAATTGATCTGAATTGAATTATGATTCAATCACAATGTTATCGGAACAGGAATGAGGGGAAGGTATGGAATAGAATTATGGTTTCGTAAAATGCCTCTGGGATGCAGGAACAGCAAAAATATCACACACCATTTTCCTGTGATTATGAGGTGCTACAAATATCTCTAAATACAGGCCATAGCTCATTGAGCACCTAAAATAGGATCACGTGAGCATCACGAAAGGTGGTGACTCTAGAACTTCAAAACTGAATTGTAAATCTCTTTTGGAAAAGTCCTTGATAACCTCTCACAGTCATTAAGTGATTGGCCATAACTCAAGAAGTACTTCAGTAATTGCAAGAGTTTTGAATAGGAAACAGATTTCTTTGAACTCATAGCAATCTATTCTAATTTATTCCAATGTGATTTTTAGTGGGTTTAATGGGTTTGTCAGAATCTTATCTGAAAGTAGAAAAATGTGCCCAATGAAAATTAAATGGGAATAGCAGTCGGGCAATGATAGATTGGTTCTCAAGCACAAATGTTTCTTCTATTAACTGGATAGATACTTTGGGTGAATGGCTATTGTAGCCAAAGAGTCTTGGTGGTGGAGTTGGCCAATGAAGAAAGTAAATCACAAAAGCTTGGATGTTGCACGTGTGTAGAAAAAGGGAGGATCTTGTGAGATGATGGCCATTTTCATTATTTTGACAAGAGGTTTTGGTTCTGCACACACTTCCACTTCTTAACTCAAGGGTCTTCAAACCTGGCAGGTTTAAGACTTATGGACTTCAACTCCCAGAATTTCTGAGCTAACATGACTGGGGGAGGAATTCTGGGAGTCGAAATCCACAAGACTTAAAGCTGTTCAGTTTGAAGGTCCCTGTCTTAACTAATGAAAAATGTCTCTACCAAGGAGACGGTTTTTCAGCCTAGCAAGGGAATGGGAAGATAGAAACAAGGAAGGCAAGGCAGATGGACAACAGGATGGCAAATATTTACTCTGCCCATTATGGAAACTGTACAACAACAAGGGGAGGTGTCTGCAGGAGAGCTTAAAAAAACCTGAAGTGGGTAGCCACAACTGTGTGTGCACGACACCCAGTTATTTTCACCCAGTGCCACTCAAAAAAAGGGCAGGTGAGACTTTGACAAATGGTTTGATCATCCTCAACATTTTTGAGCTCTCTGAGGACATCTGTCATGCCCTTGTTGGAGTCTGATTCTGAGGGGGAGATTGAGCAGTTGACAGGGAGAGGGAGTGTGGCTCCGGTGGCTGTGGAAGAAACGGGGGAAGGGCACAGTCCGGCTGGGCATTCAGAGGAAGACCCAGGGCCACCCCCTCTTCATCATAGGGCATGCAGGAAGGAGCGGAGAAGGGCGCAACATGGCTTATGGGAGAGAAAAGGGCCCTGATCGCTTTCATTAGTTGCAGCTGAGAGAACAGGATATAAGAAGAGCGTTTGCACACAGCATCTTGCTGGAAGCAAAGCGTGCATTACCTTTGTAGAGGCTTATCTGGGTTTGGCATCCTCCCAACTGTGTGTGCTTCATTATTTTTTGGAAGTCTGCAATTTATTATCCTGGCCTGTTGTGTTAATTATGTCAGCGTGGTTTGTGTTGGTTTTTTAATTTCTAATTTATCTGTACTTTGAGTTCGGACTGCATTTCTTCCCTTTGTAGACTGTTTTTAGAAGAGTTTGTTCTCCAGCCGAGGACATTGGGGGCCAAGTTGGAGGTGTTAAATGGAATTTATCTACTTTTGTGACTTTGCTATTTTTGTGCCATGCCCTGGGTCATCACAAAATCCTTGGCAAATAAGAACAGCATTAAGTCTGGGAGACTGATTAACACATTGCACGGAATCAATACACACCAATGTCTTGTGAGACCCAGTTTGGTCTAGCACTTAAGGCAGGGGTTCCCAAACTTGGCCACTTTAAGACTTGTGGACCAACTCCCGGAATTCTCCAGCCAGCTATGCTGGCTGGAGAATTCTGGGAGTTGAAGTCCACAAGTCTTAAAGTGGTCAAGTTTGGAGACCTCTGACTTAAGGCACCAGGTGATTTCTAGTCCCACCTTAAGCATGAAAGCCAGCTGGGTGACTTTGGGCCAATCACCAAGAAACTGTGAATTTTAGACCTGCCCTTGAATTATTTATAAACATAATTATGGCAGAATATAAACAAACAAGCAAATAAATGTTGGGTTGGTTGTTCTCTATTGATGCTCTTATTATTACAGCTATGGATGCATTCTGCTTTTGTATTGGGAGCTGCTACCCATCTTACTGGTTTAAATTTCTATTTTGGGGATTGTTTTTTAAGTGACATTATGCTTTTAACTATTTCTTTGTTTTTAGAATATGAGTTTTTCTAAATTAAAAGACGAGGTTATAAACCCTTAAATTCAACAATGAAAATAATCAGAGTAACTTACTGTAATCCTGAATCTTGATATCAAGATATTCCCGCTTGGGCATCTGTCGTGCTATGACTGTCTTCTGCACTCTGGCATTTACTTCGAGATCAAAAAGTTCTGGAAGAAGGAAGAGGAAAAAGTCTCCTATCAGATGAGGAATTAACCAGTTATTACCCTGACTGAAAGCACCACTATTTCTATGAAAGAAAGAAAGAAAGGAAGGAAGGAAGGAAGGAAGGAAGGAAGGAAGGAAGGAAGGAAGGAAGGAAGAGGGAGGAAGGGAGAGAGGGAGGAAAGGAAGTAATCCTCCGCTTTGGTGGCCTAGAGGTGAAGCTCTCACCTCACAATCAGGAGTTCAATCCTAGGCAGAGGATTGTGAGTTCAATCCTAGGCACAGGCTAATATTTGGAGTAGAGTCTACTGCTCGAGCAGGGGGTTGGACTAGATGACCTCTAAGGTCCCTTCCAACTCTGTTATTCTATGATCTATGATCTAAGGGGAAAAGAGAGAAAGAAACAAAGAAAGAAGGAAAGAAAGAAGGAAAGAAAAAAGGTGAAAAAAGAGGAAGGGAGGGAAGAGAGAAAGAAATTAGGAAAGAAAGAGGGAGGGAAGAAGGAAGGAAGGGTGAGAGAAAGAAAGAAAAGAAAAGAAAAAAGGAAGGAAGGAAGCCTGGAATTTCCAATATGGAAGATTTGAAGCTAAAGTCAGTTTTGAAAAAGCAGGTTCTGCCATTTGGGATATTGTTTTTACTCTATCACAACAGGACAGTAGGAGGGAGGTTCATTTCTTAGGATTTAGTCATCTGTTTTGGAGAATTTAGCACAAGGGATATACTCTTCCAATGTATTACTTCAACTAGTTGCAGCAGCAGGAGTCACTCCAATGATCTTGGACATGCCTTGTCTGTGGTATTGGCCATCGCCATCATTGATACTCTTGTCCAATTGTAGGCTCTTGGATATTAAAGAGGGCAGGTGAGAAGCTGCTATAAACAGAGAGTCCTTAACTTGTAACCATTCATTTTGTGAACATTCAAAGTTACAACAATGAAAAAAGTGATTTATGACCAGTTTTCACACTTATGACCATTTCAGCATCCCCAGAGTCATGTGATCAAACTTTGGGTGCTTGGCAGCTGGTGTGTATTTATAATGCTTGCAGGGTCCCAGGGTCCTAGGGTTGTCATTTGCAAACTTTTTAGGGAGCTTCTTGAGCCCAAAATTTCCATGACTTATCAAGAAAGCTGTTAATTGAGTTGCACCCCATTTTACAAGCTGTTTTTAAGTGAATCATGCGTTTGTTAAGCAAATTTGTCTTTCCCCATTGACTTTGCTTGTTGGAAGCCAATTGGAAGGTTGCAAATGGTGATCATGTGATTCTGGGAGAATGCCACTATCGTCGCCAAGAGCCTGAGCTTTGATCATGTGACCCTGGAGATGTTGCAATGGTCCTATGTTTGGAAATCAATAAAAAATCACTTTTTCTCAGTATCGTTTTCTTGTCCCCAAGCTCTTGGAACAGTCTGGGACAAGCAGTTCAACACTACAAGGGCTTCCATGCAAAGTTAATTTATTGGATTTTATTAGGCATCCTCAAAGTATAACTCACAGTTATGTTGAGATTCATCTAACATCCAATCTTTGCCTCAATAGTTGCCTCAATAGTGTGAAAATAGCTCTTCATCCTGTAGTATTATAGCAAACTCCAGCACGATGCTGGGGTCCAGGTAAGAATGTCCAAAAACTCCCCCAGCCCAACCAGAGATCAAGTCAGTGACCAATCAGGATTACAGATGTGACCACGTGACATGAACTACATCTCCCATGAGGTATCAACTACATTTCCCATGAAGCATTCCCTTAAGGGGGCAGCTCTCATTCCTAAACAAACTAGCACAATCGTTGTAACTTTAAATGGTCACAAAACAAATGACTGTAAGTCAAGGACCACCTATACAGTAATCTTATGGGTCCTGAGAGTCATGCCTTTTCTATGGAAGCACCTATTCTCTAGAATGATCTACCCCAGGCATTTAATTGGCCTGAGTCCTGCAGGCCTTTAGAAGGACAGTGAAAACCGATCTGCTTCCTTGGACATTCCTCAGCTCCAGATATCAAAGCTCCCCATCTAGAAGAGTGTAATAAATTTGAGTTCCTGGTCATTGATTAATTACTGAACTAAGTAACAACATCAGCATGAAAGAGTGTGGGGTTTGCTTCTAGTACATGCGCCACTAATGTTACCTATTTGGATAATGAAACATCTGCAAGCATGGACTCTACGTATTTCTTCATATTGGAGGGCATGTTTGAAAGCTAATAGAGCAGGGTCCTTGGAGCTCTCTGATCTGGCTTGTTTTCTTGCAAACGTTTCATTACCTTAACTAGATAACATCATCAGTGCTAGTAAGGAGTGATGTTTGCTGTCAGTTTATGTTCTGGTGTCTTGCCTGTCAGTGTTGGTGAGGGTGGCCTTAGAGATTGTTTGGTTGGGCTGTTTACTGATAGCTCTTTGGCCATTTCTTGATTGAGGAATTGCTTACTTGATTGTTGGCCTGAAGTTGACCTTGGAGTTCGTCTATGCTGATCTGAGTGCTGATTACTGGTGGGGAGGTTCTGGAGTCCTTTTGTTCTCTTTTGGGCTGAATGATTGTCTCTTTTGCATAATCTATCATCTATAATGTCTATTAGACAGAGCCGTGGTGGCTCAGTGGTTAGAATGCAGTACTGCAGGCTACTTCTGCTGATCACTGGCTGCCAGCAGTTTTTCAATTCTCACTGGCTCAAGGTTGACTCAGCCTCCCATCCTCCCAAGGTGGGTAAAATGAGGACCCAGATTGTTGGGGGAAATATGCTGACTCTGTAAACTGCTTAGAGAGGGCTGTCAAGCACTGTGAAGTGGTATAGAAGTCTAAGTGCTATTGCCATCTATTGATAGCTGATTTGTCAAAGGTCCAGGCTTCTAGACCAGATCAAGTTTTTGAACTTGATCTGGTCTAGGGTTGCTAAGAGAACATTTGAAGGAATTTGTTTTTGCATCAGCTACCTTATAAGCCAGTTATGAACTTAGCCAGTTTGGTCTAGCAGTTAAGACACCAGGCTAGAAAGCACGAAAGCATGAGCTCCAGTAGCCTAGAGGTGCAGCTCTTGCCTCACAATCAGGAGGCTGTGAGTTCAATCCTAGGTAGAGGCTAATTTTGGAATAGACTTTCCTGCTCGAGCAGGGGGTTGGACTAGACCAACCTCCAAGGTTCCCTTCCAACTCTGTTATTCTATGAGTTCAAATCCCATCTCAGCCAGGAAAGCCAGGGGACTTTGGGCCAGTCACTCTCTCAGCCCAACCCACCTCACAAGGTTGGTGTTGTGAGCAAAATAGGAGGAGGAGGAGGATGTGCTGGATATGTTCACTGCCTTATGTGTAAAAACAATAAAGATGGGATATAATAACAATAATAATGAAAAGAAGGCAAGGAAATATTGATTCTTTTTCCTCCCAACACTCTTTGATCCCTTAACCTCAGCCCACAAGTCTGTCTCTTGTGAAGTTGCTTTGCAAAGTCACCCTGTTCCAAATACTGTTCTTCCCCTCCTGGTGGATATTTCAGCTGGTAGACGTAATGGTTCCATGTTAAAGTTCTTCCTGATAATCTCTCTCTCATTTTTGTTGCAACCATAACTCCAGCGAAAATGCCAAAGCATCAGACAATTAAGCCTGATTGCATGTTGGAATCCTCATTTAATTATCGCTTGCCCAATTAGCCTTATCAGCAGAAGGAGGCTGGCCCTCGAGAGCAGCCAGCCTGTTTGCTCTCGTAATTGCATTCGCAGAAAGCAAGGACAGGCGAGGAAGAGCAGGCTGACAGATCTAAAGATTCCCGAATGCATCTCCCAAAACCTGCCAAAGCCCACTGGGAATCCTTGCCTGCGCTGTTCAGACAACCAGTCCTTAATTAAATATAAGCAGATGGTAATGTTGGGTGGGATTTATAGCTATCAGATTATTGTAGAAGTCTCTCATATGATGGAATAGAATTATTTTGTGAATAAGGGGTGCTGCTTACAATAGTTCTTCCTATTCATTATTGCAAGAGACACCTGCATAATGAGACCATCGGCGCCTCTTAATCACATGTGCAAGAGACCGCGGGAAAACGGCTTTCTATCTACCGATAACCTTTTTTTCTTTCATTCTCCATCTTTCCCACAATGTCTTCTTTGCCCTTCTCTACCCTCAGTTATGTACTCTGCAGCATTTCCTGCTTGCTTGTGGGCATTTATTTATTGATTTATTTATTTTATGAACTGGATCAGAATAACGGACCTTCCTTTTTTTTTGCAGTGTTTTATGGTCTGCTTTTGAACATCTACTCGCTTTGAATCTCCACTGCAAAATTAGACATTTTGGAAGTATCTAATGACCCAATATACACTTGTATTTTTTTTCCAGCCTACCAGTATATATTTTCTTCCCCTCCCACCACTCCCAAAATCTGGTGCTATGTGGAAAAAGTAGGATTCCTTTTTCATCCACTTTATATATATTTTTAAAAAAGCAGGAACATTGATCGAATTACTTACAGGCAAGCGGATAAAATACTCATGCCACTTACCTATCCACCTTGCTTCAGCATTATTCCAACCACCCAAACTTTTGTCCTTGAAAATTTTATTTATTTATTAAAATTATATCCTGCCCATCTCAATTGTAAAAGCAAGCACAGTGTTAAAACATTCGATATTAAAATAAACCAGATATGAAATAAGTTAAAAAGCGAAAGGTTGGAGATGGAAAGGAGGTTCCATCTCCAACCTTTCGCTTTTTAACTTTTTAATTTATTAACCTCCTTCCTGGTCCGCTAAACACTTTCAACAGCTTTGTTGTGGTCCCAGCCCAGTTGGCAGAGCCAGATTTTGATATTAATTATGGAAGACCATAATTAATGAGGGAAGATCTCACCTCAAAGCAGACCTGAACATTTTTACAGGTCTAGGATTACCTCCAGCCCTTTGGCTGTCCTTGTCTGGTTGGCATGAGGTCAATTGGTAGTTAGAAAATAAAATATAAATAAGGATTACAGATTTACAGATTAACAGCATTGTAAGGGACCTTGTAGGTCATCTAGTCCAACCCCCCCACCCAAGCAGGAGACCCTACATCATTTCTGACAGATGGCAGTCTAGTCTCTTCTTGAAAGTTTCAAGTGATGATGCTCCCACAGTTTCCAAAGGCAACTTCTATTCCATTGGTTGATTGTTCTCACTGTCAGAAAGTTTCTCCTTATTTCCAGGTTAAATCTCTCCTTGTTCAGTTTCCATCCATTATTCCTTGTCTGGCCTTCGGGTGCTTTGGAAAATAGCTTGACCCCTTCCTCTCTGTGGCAGCCCCTCAAATATTGGAAGACTGCTATCATGTCTCCCTTGGTCCTTCTCTTTACTAGACTAGCCAAGCCCAGTTTCTGCAACCGTTTATCATATGTTTTAGCCTTCAATCCCCTAATCATCCTGGTTATATATCGCAGGAGAATGGGAGAAGAAGCCGAGTCATGGCTTTGCGCAGTCACTGTGTGCATCCGCTGGGGGCCACAGAAGGGTGAGGAGAGGAAACAGTTCTCTGTTCCTGTACAGCACTCACCCCTCTCACCTGGAGCAGCCTGAGGAAGTGCTGGTCATTGCTTAAGGCAAGGGTCCTCAAACTATGGCCTGCGGGCTGCATACGGCCCATCGAAGTCATTAATTCAGCTCATGCAGGACCACAAGGCTGCCCTGGCCACTCGCCGGCCCCCACTGTTTAATTTGTGTGCATTGTTTAATGTTAAACTGGCCATGCCCACCCAGTCACATGACCACCTAGCCACGCCCCCTGGCCTGTCCGCCTCCTCCCAACAGTCTGAGGGACCGTGAATTGGCCTCCTGTTTAAAAAGTTTGAGGACCCTCGTTTAGGGGGGATCCAGGCTTGGCCACCCACTAATGCTTTGTCAAAGTGTGGCCTTGCAGGCACATGAGCAGAGAGCAGCCTGGAGATATTGGTTCAGCTCTCCAGAACAGTCCCAGTTCCTCATTTGGGCTCTTGGGAAAAGTAATTGCCCACCCCTGCCTCAAGGGATACGTGTTCCAGAGGGCAGGAGTGAATGGCAAAAAAAAAAGGGCCCCTTTCCTGGACCCCACCAGTTGGATTAACAGATTCATCAGCCTGCCCCGTTTGAAGGCCAATCCCATTGGGATCTTATGGTTCCTCGGGTAATCTGGACACATCCCATTTTCACATGTTTAGATGCACCTAGGTTGCTGGCTTGCAACCATTAAATATGACATTAGATGCACGGTGTGTCTCTTTACCTTTTCCCTATGGGGAAAGACCGGCTGCGCGATTCTATTCCTCCAATTTCTCTAAATTTGTAACACCCACAAATACTCTTTGGCTTTTCCACTCATTGGAACTCAGGTTATCTCTCTGGCCTTTTTGATCTCTGGTGAGCCTGCTGTCTTTTCTTTCGAAGATCTCCCAATCTCAAAAGCCCCCTGCAAAACACTTACTTTGAGTATCGGATGTTCTGTGGACTGTTACCATTGGAATCCGCGGACCTTGAAGAAAGAAAGAAAATGCATTTATATTTAAGAAAACAGGTCTAAAATGATATTCAGGGCTAGATGTTAAATCCCTTCCCTATTACATGGAAAGCTGATCTAAGCAACCAGTTGCCCAAAGATAATTAATAGGCACCAACCCAAAAAAAATGAAAGATAGACAGATTCTCCCAGCAGAGAGCTGGGTTGCTTCATCTTCTCTAATTTGTCAATATTTTAATTAGTGCAAACACAATTTAAAAAATTTGTTTTTAGATTATTTTAATGTCATACTATATGTATGACACAAAGGATTATACTTCTCAGATAACCCATTGTGCGAAGGAGAAAGGAAAACACTAGCAGGATATTAATTGATCTTTAAGCATTGCTTCCTGCCAGCTTTGTGTACAGTGATGTTGGCTTCTTTTTTAAAAAAATACAATCTCTTAGACACCAAAATCAGTAGTGGAATTCAAATAATTTAACAACCGGTTTCCCGAATTAGTGAAAACTGGCTGAATCCCAACACTGACCAAAATGCATCCACCCTGCTTCAAAAAAATAAAGTGATCCAGAAACCCAAACAGGACAGGTTATGTTTGAACTGATCCAAATGGCCATGTGTGTATGACAGCCATCTGGTCAATGGGTCAGCTAAAGCCAGCCGTGGCACCCAGATGTTTGAAAGTTGGGACTTCCAAGCCCAAAGATTGCAATCAATCCACTTATTCCTAGAGCAGCGCATGAAAAGGAAATAAGGAAGAAATCTTTGTGGTCAAAGGAAGGGAATGTATAGCCTTGAATTATCGACAGTAGTTTTCCACTTGCGATTGGTCGCTTAGTGGCTATTTGAAGTTATAAATGACCTGCCAGGAGACTATTTATAACTCAGATAGTTGCCCCCCCAGTGGTCAGGTTATTGACCCTTGGGCACTCAGCAATCGGACTGTATTTACAGTTGCTTGTAGTGTCCCATAGTCACGTGACCACATTTCAAGAGAGTTTTGCTAAAAATTGACATTTACTTCCAGTTTTTTTTAAGTAAAACGGCACTCCTAGTAAACCATTGGTTCACTTAATGATCATGCCGTTTGCTCCACAACCTTAGTGTTTGCTTAACAACTGTCATGGATTTTTTTTTTAATGACTCCCACTATGACTGTGATAGGCAAGCTTCCATCGTGGGTTATAATGGCAGCTAACTCCACAATTATAGTTGAGACTACTTGTTTTTTAAAAAAAATATTTTAGTTTTTAAAAACAAAAATACAAATCTCTATTCACATTAACAGTGTTTGTGTTGTTATTAATACATACCTCTCCTTTTATACATAAACATCAGCACTTATTTCTATCCTCCACCCATTTGTACCACCTATCCCAAATCGCATAATAGTCCGAATCATCTTTGCCTCTTAATTCCATTGTGAATTTATCCAGTTCCGCACAATCCATTATTTTTTTGTGTCAAGTTTTCTTCAGATGGTATCTTTTCCTTCTTCCATCCTGTGCGAAGGCTATTCTCGCCGCAGTTATGACATGTATAATGATGTATCGGATGACCTTGCTCAATTTTCCCTTAATTATTCCTAATAAGAATATTTCCAGTTTGAGTTCTAATTTGTGCTCTGTAATTTCTAATAACCATCTTTGTACCTTCATCCAATATTGTTTAACCTCTGGACACTGCCACCACATATGGAAGAATCTTCTTCTTTGTGTTTACACTTCCAACATTCTGCTTTTGTGTTTGGATACATTTTGGCCAGTCGAGGCTACTTGTAACTGTGAGGCTAGCTGTATAAGTAATGTTAAGGACACTTATTTGGACCTGATGTCCTGATAAGGTTTTCGACATATTCCTTGCCCTCACCATGTTGCTTTGCCCTCTCCATTTTATTTTTTAACGTACTTTAATGAAAAACAATGAATAATGCATAGCAAGGCAATCATATGGAATCATATGATTGCCATTTGCAACGTTCCCAGCCAGCTTCTAACAAGGAAATTTTACTGTTTTCTACTAGTATAAATCGTATTTACATTCTCAACTGCATTTTGCATTGACATACATACAATTTTATCATATATTTTCTACCATCTATTCATATGCCTCACCAATAATTATCCTTACTTATGTTTGTTATTAATATTTATCTTTGTCTACTTTATATTTCTACATATCTATATATCAATTCCTTAAGGGTTCTTCTATGACATAGAAGATCTATGTGATCCTCACTTTTCATTCCTTATTTCTATTTTCTAACCATTTGTACCATCTATGCCAAATTGATTTAATAGTCATATTCTCTGACAAGGAGTTAATGTGGGGAATTAATGTGGGGAGCCAAATTCACTTGATGACTCTGTGATTCACTTAACAACTAGGGCAAAAGATCATTAAGCCAGGCACAAATCACTTAACAGCCACTTTTGCTTACGAATGGAAATTCTGGTCCCAATTATTCTCATAAGTTAAGACTACCTGTATCACCCTTTTAAAGTGCATTGGAACAGGTGTTTAAAAATGAGTTGTGCTTGATTGTGCAGTTGTGATGACCACTGACTTTTTTTTAACCCCTTCCTGCAGTTACCTCTGGCAGCTTCATAAAAACAAAGTATCTTAACCTCAAGTGTATTTCAAAGGCCAGCCTCTGTATTTTGAACTGAACCTGGGAAGTACAGAAGAGCAACAAAGATTCTGGATATCCAGAATATAGAATTGGGATATCTAGGCTTCAGTTAAGATCAATGGGAAATGTCATTTTGCTCCATCAAAATTGCTGAGAAGTAAAAGGAATTTTGGGGTCTTCTAACAAGTGATAGAAAGAGGGAAGGGGAGGGAGGAAACTTTGAGCCTGGAAAAAGAGATATTTTATAAAGAGCACCAACCTTGTTTTCTACCTAAATTGGCAGAGGAGTGTTACATGATTAAAAATAGGCGTTATTCCAGAAAAAAATATTTTTTTTCTTGAATAACACCTGTTTTTAATCATGTAACACTGAGTAAACTGTTATGGGTTATTCTATACCATAGAATTTCATTGAGGGTTGCATTAGGATTGTGTTTGATCTCAGAGGGTCGGGGGCGGTGGGGTGTGTGCCCAGGGGTGGGCATGACCAGGTGGTTGTGGCCATGGAGGGCATTTGACACAGGTTCAATATGCATTTTTCCCCTTCTCTTTCTTTCCACAGTTCTTTACTATAACCTGTTGTGGTTTGCTGGCAGCCTGTGCAGACAGCAGCAAAATTGGACAGTGGGGAAGAATGGGGACCAGTCCGGGAGTCTGGGGAGGATTCGGACGAGGGTCCTGCGTCTGATGCAGAGATGGGGCCAGGACCATCTGGGAGTGGGGTGCTGCCTCTGGAGACTCCAGAACCTGGCAGCAGTGAGGCAGAGGAACAAGGGGAGCCTGTTCCCAGTGCGCGTGTGCACAGAGCTGCTAGAAGGTGAGAGCAGCTGAGACAAAAGGGGCAACTTGGGAGTAAGGCTGGGAGGTGATTGCCCCTCCCCTAAGGTATAAAGGAGGTGCAAAGGTAGAGAAACTTTTGCAGGAAGCAAAGTCGTTCGCTCTCTTCGGATTAATCCTTGAAGCTCTGTGTGGACTTTGTACTTTGGTTTTTTTTTTTTTACAGTTAATGTGGCACTTTAATTGTTGGCAGCAATTCAAAGGAGATAAAGGTGGGTGCTTATCTCGAGAGACTGTTTGGGACTCATTACGGGCTGGGAACGAACATAAGTCCCAGCGTTCAAATAAAACAAGAGTTGTTTTGACTAAGCGAGTGCTTAATTATGGTCTCAGAAAGCCTTGGTCAGAACATAACCATTTTCCTATCTCTCCTACCAGATACTAGTGGCAAACATTTATTACTTATTCTTTATACTCCACTAAACTTTTTATTTCTAAATTTATACCCCATTGTTTAATAGTAAATTGCTTTTCCAGGCAGAAAAGCTATTCATACTATTGTATTTTTATTATTCAACTAATAATAAAAATACAATAGCATAAATAATATGGTAATACCAAGATCTAACAGCAGAGGTAAATTTCCAGGATAGTAAATAGAAATGTCTGTCAATTATACATACAGAATAGAATACAGAATATAGAATACAGAATAGATTCTTGATTGTACATTGTAGAATGTATACCTACAGTATGTAAAATCTGGCATTATGCTGTATTATTAACATAGGATGTTGTTTGTTTTCTATCCAGATCAGGCACTTACTTGAGGCCACATAATTGTAATCCAGTCCTCCTGCAGCACTTTGCTGGCCGAAAATGGGCTGTGGAGAGGCCCCACACAGCCTATTTTTGGCCTCCACGGCTTCCTGCAGCACTCTGCCAGCCGAAAACAGCCTGCACGGAGGCCCCATATGGCCCATTTTCAGCCAGCAGAGTGCTGCTGGGGGCTGTGGAGGCCAAAAATGGGCCGCATGCAGTCCTCCTGCAGTCTGTTTTGGCCAGGAGAGGCATTGTAGGCTGGTCCTTTTGAAATTTCCAGGCCGGCCCCGTGGACCACCAGATTTAAGCACCCCGCAGTCCAGATCCGGCCCGAGGGTCTTGAGTTTGACATGCCTGTTCTATACCAATCTTTCTAAAGACATTTATATGCTCCCTTGAGATCTATGGACTGTATTTTTTTTAATGCATCCCACATTTATAAAGCTGTTTTCATCCCAAAGCCTGTTTTCTCTTTTTGCACAGTACTTTATGGTAAACTGAGGGAAAAAAATACGATTAAGGAAGCTCTAAAAGAATCAAGCTAGTCATTTGTTGTGAAGACACAGCTCTTCTGAAATATTGTTCCATTACACTGCAAAACATTTTCCTTGCAAACATTCGTGTATTTAGGATTTACCGAGCCAAATTCAACACCTCTAAACACTGGGGATACATAATGCTTTTGTGTGTACACATGTATGTTACTTCCAGATGAATGTATCCTTGCAATCAATATTTTTTTCTCTCTCCCTCTCTCTGATTCAGGGATTGACTCTCTTCCCATCTCCCAATTTTAATATAGGTGCAAATGTACCTGCAGTGATTTCCTTTGATATTGGCAAAATAGAAAATCTGTCCTATGAGAACACACAAAATGACAGTTTTTGCTATTCAAGCATTCGGTTGCTCAGGGAATTGCAAAAAAATGGTTTTTTTTAAAAAAAAAAAAGATTTATTTTGGTTGCATCAACTAAAAGACTGATTAATTGTTAGAAATAATATTAAAATTATTTTATTAGCCTATATTTTCTTTCCCCACTGTTTTTCCTTACACAATGATCACACTGCATTGGTGCTGTTTAAAAAAAAACCCTGCTATTTTCCATCCATTTATGACGAAATTAACAAAATCATCACCCACCTAGAGCTGGAACCAAAGGAAATAATTAAAAGTGCCACATGTTTTTGGAAAACCCTGTTTTTGCTTTTCCAAAGAACTTTGTGAGTATGTGTGCCTGTGTTGTTGTTGTTGTTTTTTTAAATAAGGAGTAATGACACTCCCCTGATGAAGAGATGGCCAGCCTATAAAATTTAAAAACTAATAAAATAAAGCCAATAAAAATCATGATAATGACTAATCAGTATTCTGGGATAACTATCAAGGAACAAAACAAAAAAATGCAGGAAAGGTGTTTTTTTTTTAAAAAAAAGGTGGTAAGAAAGTAAAATGTTTTATTCTTTCTTAATGGCTAAAAAAAACACCACCCGCTTCTTCAAATACCTTCAGAAAATTTAAGAGAAACAAATCTTTTCCTACATAACCCAACAATGAAAACAGTCCATGCACAGCCTCCATCGTGGTATCTTTCCAGCAATGATGAATGATTTAAAAGAGCAGCTGGAGATATGGAGATTGCACGCAGCCCCTGGATGCTACAAAGGGGCTAATTGGCAAAGGGCAGATCTCCCCTCCCTGTGCCGCCCCCTCCCCCCCACTCCAGCATATGGCTTCCAGGATCTCTTTATTTGCTAGGCCATGAATTATGGATCACTGTAATGCACTGAAATCTCATATACCAAGGCCGTATTATCATACTAATAAACAAAGATGCCAGGAGCACTTTTCAATCCCTGGCTGTAATTAAAAGCTGTGTGCTGCCAGTAATATTTTCTGAGTCAATAACGGAGACAAATGTTTCTGACATTTTCTGGGGATCACAGATTTCTTTTCTTTTAAGGTCCTTCTTGGAGAGCTGAAGAAATTTCTTGGATGAGAAGCAAAACATCCTTAAAAAAAAAAAAAAAAGCCCAGGAAGTCCAATTGCCTCTTGAAAAAGCCACTTTGGGGTCGTGTTGAATAGGTTTGCCACTTTATTTGTAAAAATAGTAAAGGTGGAATATAAACAAATAAATAATAAAAGTGTGAGGAATGGTCTTAAGTCACTTTTTTCAGTGCTTCTGTAATTTTGAATGATCACTAACGGTTGTAAGTTGAGGACTTCCTATATCTGGTAAATGTTCTTAAAATACTCTGCATTCCATTTCTTTCCGAACCCCTTCTAAACGAATCCGCGCTTTGTGTGGCATCAACTGAAATAAATTGGTGATTATGCGTAACGCCTACCTTCACAGGTCAACAAGAAGTACGCCATGTTGTGACTGAATGTTACATGGAAGTAAGTGCAGTTGTTAATCAGATCACAAGAGAGACATTGCCGGTTGAAGTTCCCCTTGGTGCTGGCACTGTAACAAACAACGGAAAAAACAAAAAGAGGCTTAATTGTCAAAAAGCCAAAAAGGCTGAAGGAATATTTATTAACCTATGATCTAGACCCCCAGATGATCTTGGCCTCAAATTCAGTATTCCCTCATCTGTTTCCATCCAGATGAGTTGCAACCCATGTAGGCTGGGAATTCTGGGAGGTTACAGCCCCACATATTTGAAAGGGTTGGGAGACTAAACTAGATAAGTAGATAATATTGGGCCAGGTAGATGAAAATGCAAAGCAGCTTTCTATGTATACATCATGGTTAGATTCATCCATCCATCCATTGATTCAAGTTTTATCCTGCCTTTATTACTTTACCAGTAACTCAAGGCAGTGAACATACATAATACTCCTTTCTCCTCCTGTTTTCCCCACAACAGCAATCCTCTGAGATAGATTGGGCTGAGATAGAGAGACTGCCAAAAGTCACCCAATTGGCATTCATACCTAAGGTTAGACTAGAACTCACTGTCTCCTGATGTGTTATCCAAAGTCACCAAGCTGGCTTTCACGCCTAACATGGGGCTAGAACTCACAGTCTCCTGGTTTCTACCTTGATGCCTTAACCACTAGACATAACTGGCTAGATGCAATTGAAATGGGAACAAATCAGCTGTAATGGCCTACAACAGTGTTGATCAACAGTGTCAACTTTAAGACTCCCCAAATTCCCCAGCCAGCCATCAACCTAGAAGAACTGACCTAGAAGAAGACTGAGAAGATGGAGGCTTTTAAAAAGTTTTAGGCCTAAACAAAACAAATTGGTTTTTTTTAAAGGAATGGAATTTTAAAGGAATGGAATTAAGATTAAAATCTGAAGTGACAGCAGGCAAGTACTCAGGGTGAAAGACATACATATCAAGTGTGAAAAAAATGGGTTTTTCAACCTTGGCAACATTCAGATATGTGGATTTCAACTCCCAGAAATTCAGGAATTCAAAGGCTATGTATCTGAAAGTTGCAAAGACTGGAAAAGGCTAGTGTAGTGGATAATGTGCTGGATTAAATTCTAGTTCTCCCTTAAGCATAGAATTTGACCCTTGACTGTGATGTCAGAAGAAGGGCTATCAATCAACTTGCACTGGACCAGAGTGGTAGATGACGGTTCAAAACATTCATTGAAGAGAATTTCATCCTAGATTGGATTGATTTGGGGTGATAATAACATCACAAATGAAGGCAAACATATGTGACCCGAGATAATATTGCAGGATGCAATCTGTGTCGGTCACTGGGTCCAGAGGTTCAGTCTTCTGAGTTTTCAGATTTGTGCCGGAGCCCAGCCTCAGCAGTGGTGGGATTCAATTTTTTTTACTACCAGTTCTGTTGGTGTGGCTTGGTGGGCCTGGCAGGGGAAGGATACTGTAAAATCTCCAGTCAGAGGTGGTATTTGCCAGTTCTCTGAACTACTCAAAATTTCCACTACCGGTTCTCCAGAACAGGTCAGAACCTGCTGAATACCACCTCTGATCCTCAGGAAATCTCTCTTTAAGGGAAGTTAAACCTCTGGTCTCAGTGACGGATCCAAATTAGATCCTGCAACAATAATGTTATTCTGCATCAAGAATCTGATTAAAACAATGAGAATTCCAAGAACTGTGTTTGAAATTGCCTTCTTGGTACACATGTAAGCACTGAATCCTGATTGAGGCATCCACCGAGGTGCCCTGGATGGTTTACATGTGGAATATGACTGCAGACCTTTTAGGAAGGACTTCTTCAGCACCTGCCATTTCAGAGGATGACAGACAAGTATAACCTTTTCCACATAATGAAACAAACAAAACAAGAACTGTGCTACTGGCCATAGTTCATCTGCCTATGGTACTGCAAACACCAGTCATTTGGGAGGTGATTCTAAAGATATTGGATAAATGGGAAAGGGCTTGCTATTTTGTTTATCTTTAAAATGTTTTAAAATATTCTGTGTTAGAATGTTTGTTTCCTTCCCTCCTCCAAAATAAATTCCATATATAAATAAACAAGAGAAAAACAAAAACAAAGACCACAAGACAAAGACAGATAAACAATAATATCCCCAAAATAAAAGTTGGGAAGCTGACAGCAATATTTTTTTTTTACCTTCTTAAGTAGCAAGAGTCTTTTTCCTAAATATAATCAGAAAGTTATCTTGGCATAAAACTAATCATACCTGTATAAATGCCGAGTCCTTGGCAACTCTTCTGTGCTGAGGAAATAACTAAAATAAAACATAGATATATAATTAGAGTTTTAGGAGCAACTTTTCGCTGATGTGAGTTCCCTAAGCATAAATTTCCTTTAAAACAGAAGTGAAAAACATCTGGCCAAAAGTTCTTATGAGCCAGAAACACTGTCTGGTGTGTTTGTTTCTTGATAAAATCTAGATTCCAGGTTGCTTTTTCTTAGACAGGTCTCTAGTCCTCATGGTTGGGAATTTGAAAAAAAAAAGTGGCTGGTTTTAGGTTCTTCTCCTTCTTCATTGTACTGTGTGAATATTCAAGTTCTTTCCTATTTCTCCAAATGTTTATTTTTGTCTCCTGTTTTATATAATTATTTTTTCCAGTGCTTATAAACATGTATTCAGCTTTCAGGTGCAGAGGTGGGGACAATCTGGAGATGTAAGTGGGGCCCAATCAGTGATGCAGTATATAAAATACTGTTTCATTATCTGAAACTATCTGAAACTATCTGACATTTGGAACTCTATTAATTTTGTTTGCTTATTCAATATACTTTTATAGCTCTAGTGCAGGGGTACCAAACCTGATTTCATTGAGGGCCGTATCAGGGTTGTGTTTGATCTTGGAGGGCTGGGGGTGGGTGGAGGTGGCCAGGGGTGGGATTCAAATGTTTTAACAACCGGTTCTGTGGGCGTGACTTAGGTGGTGGATGTGGCTTGGTGGTCATGTGACTGGGTGGGTGTGGCTTGGTAGTCATGTTATTGGTTGGGTGTGGCCAACTCAATATCACTCACATTGATGCACGCATCTCCTCGCCTGCCCTCTCATGACTGTGGGGATGCTGCAACAGTCGTAAGTGTGAAAAATGGTCATAAGTCGCTTTTTTCAGTGCCGTTGTAACTTTGAATGGTCACTCCACACAAGCAAAGTACCAGCAAAGGAGGGGAAAAAGAACTCTAGAGAAGTTCCAGAGACAGGAAGTCTAGTCCTGCCAAGAATGTAATAAGGGTTAATGGAGTGGCAGTTTCTGTAAGCAACACCAGAATGTTTCCTTCCTGCCTTCCTTACAGGATTAGGCCAGTAATTTCTTCTAACAACTGGTTCTCCAAACTGTTTAGAATGTTAAAAACCAGTTCTAGTGAATAGGTGTGAACTGGTAGAATCCGACCCCTGGAGGCCATGGTGGGCAAGGCCGGGAGTGGGAGTGGACATAATGGGCATGACACAAGTCTCGTGTTGGGGCACCTAGTGCTAAGGCAGGTCTTCCCTGAGACCCTCCCTCACTCTCATAATCTCCTTCCTTCCTTCCTTCCTTCCTTCCTTCCTTCCTTCCTTCCTTCCTTCCTTCCTTCCTTCCTTCCTTTTCTTCTTTTTCCTTCCCTCTTTCTTCTCCTTTCTTCTTTCTTCCCCTCTTTCCTTATTTTTCCTTCCTTGCTCTCTTCCCATCTCCCCTTCTTTGTCTTTGTCTTTCTTCTTTCCCTTCCTCCCTTCCTGTCCCTTCTTGCATGCTCAAATGCAAAAGGGGAAACATTTCTCCTTTTGTTTTGTTTTTAGTTTGTTTGGATAGCCCTCTGCCAGTGAAAATGGAGCCAGGTGGCTGCACACAGCCCTCTGTGCCCCGTTTTCGGCCACAGTGGCCTCCTGCAGCCCCCCAAGCTCTGTTTTCCCTGGACGAGGCACCATGGGCCAGTCCTTCGCTGTTTCCAGGCTGGCCCTGTGGGCCAGATCTAAGCACCCCATGGACCAGATTTGGCCTGCGGGCCTTGAGTTTAACACCCCTGCTCTAGTGCTTCACATGACAGTAAAAAAGATAGAAAAAATGTAGATACAGGTAGCCCTCAACTTATAACCACTTGTTTTGTGACTGTTCAATGTTACAGTGGCACTGAAAAAAGTGGCTTATGATCAGTCCTTGCATTTACAACTATCACAGTATCCCCATGGTCTCGTGATCAAAATTCAGCCACTTTGCAACTGGCATGTATTTATGACAGTTGCAATGTCCACGTGGTCGCCATTTCTGGCCTTCCCAGCTGGCTTCCAATAAAGAAAGTCAATGGGGGAAGCCAGGTTTCTTGCATGCAATACAACAATTGCATAATTCACTTAACTGTGACAAAAAAAGTGATATAATTGGGGTGACTCACTTATCAACTGCCTCGCTTAGCGATAGAATTTCTTGGTTCCTGCCTCGATTGTAAATCAAGGACTACCTGCATTGATTAAGCTGCAGCATCATTTGAATTCACTCTGTTTTATTTTCACTGAACCTCTTTGGCTACCAATCCATTTTCTAGCATCCTACCAAATTGTGCTCCCAATTTCTCTATATTTTCTAAATTATGGGTCCATATTGATGGTTGAAAAGTAATCAGAAACTCTTGTTCATTTTTTTTTTTTTGGCTAAAGCTCCTTCACATTTGAGGGCAACATGTCCCTGAACTATATTTGAACACATTTGTCAAAATAAAATGGAAATCAAGCAATTAAATGTAGTCACGTGCAATTATGCTTTCCAAATTAGTCACGGCTTTTTAGCTGTCGGACGAAACTGACACAGAATCTCAATGTTGATCAAAGCGACAGAAAAATAACATTTCCATTGTACTGATTTAAACTGCTACTCTAGCAAGACTGACAGTTTAGCAATGAATCCTCTTTAACAGCTCTCATTCTTCTTCCCCAATTAAGACATTTCAGACACAAGGAATTATATAATCCAATGCATTTTAATGCTACTTTTAACAAACAAAAGTCTGGAAATCCATTAAATTTTCTTTTCTGACAACCAGATCAGTTCTGCACAAAAATCAAAGGACAAATAAGATATATCCAAAGTGCTTCTTGTATTTGAAATGTCACAGAATCAAAGAATGCATATGTGGCAGAGGGAACCCAGAGGTCACAAAATCCAACCTCCTGTTCAGTATAAGAATCTGCTTAGCCATTCCAGACAAGAAGTCTTCCAGTCACCATTTAAGCAAATAATATTTATTGCTATCACAAAATTCCTCCTAAGATTAAGTCTGAATCTTTCGCTTTTAATTCAACTTATGGGGTTTTACTTGTTCCAAAGCAGGGAATTTATCTGACTCTTTTACTATGATTGTCTTATGTAATGATAACTGCACAGTTTTCTAATGCTTTTGTAATGTAAACTTGCCTCATTCTTCAAATTATTCTTCAAAGAGGTTGAATTCCAGGATGGAATTAACTCCATAAATTGAATGCAATGCCTGTGTTAATGAAACCCAAAATTGCATTGGCCCGTTCAGCTGTTGCATCCCATTGCTGGCTCATTTTCAGCTGCTGATCCACTTCTGCCAAGTCAGATCTTCCCATTCCATATGCGTTAGAAAATATTTCAATGGCGCTATGACAGCAGGAGGTTCTACATAACATTTTGTGTTTCTTATGCACATTTCACAGATTGGGACCTTCACCACAACCAAAGTAAAACTGATACACATTTTTTGGCTTTCAGCGGATGTTTTCCACTGATCAGGTTATCATATGTAAATCTCAAACCAGAGATACAATACCATTGGCTTTGTTAAAGAGGAAAAAAATGATCAGCTTCCTTTACTTTAAAAAAATTACTTACATTTTATGCTGCTTCTCATCATAGCCCAAAATTTTGGACACATCCCAGTCACCCGATGTAATAGACTGTAAATTATCATTGCTGCTATTGGGCTGCCAAGAAAAAGAGAAGAAAAAACAGGACTTCAGAAAGATTCAGCGAAACCTCTTATCAGTGAAAATCAGATTTACCCATTTCCTCAAACACCCCCCCTGAAATTCTCTTCCACCATCTGAAAAATAGCATTATGCTACTCCTTTCCTCTACAGTTTCAAAATTTAAATGCCATGTAAATAAAGGGACTTGAGTTTATGCCCAAAATAAACATATTCCATACTCAAGAGAAAAAGAGGAGAATAAAGTACTGTGGGTAGTTTTTGACTTACAACCGTCATTGAGACCAGAATTATGGTTGTAAATTGCTAAGATTGTTAAATTGAGATACCCACATGACTGGAAATAAATTTCTGGCTTATTTTGTTGTTAAGCAAATGTGGTGACTGTTAAGTGAATACAGCGGTTGTTACACAAAAATCAGGTTGGAATTTTTCGGGCTTTGCACAATTTCCCAAACTACAAATCCGTCCCCCCTTGGCCATCATCACATCACATGGCCCAATCACGATCCGTCCAAAAGTAAGATCCTTATTTCATCCTGTGCCATATTCAATGACCTTGGACTAACAAAAGAATTTTATTTTGTCTGCTTAGAGCTACTTAATTGAAATCAACCCCTTCCACTCTCCCAAGTTATGTGGCAGCGTGAAATATGACTTTTAAAGCTGACAACACCCTAAAGGCTTGTAAAAGCGATTACAACATGCAGGCCTGAGGAGAGTGGGGGTGCAGCTGTTACATTGTTCCGGGGCCCATGGAGCTCAAATTTTTTAATTTTTTTTTAACAAAACCAAAATTAAAATAAATAAATAAATTGGATATATACTTCATATCCGATGCTTTGCGTGTATAGCAAAATTGCCTTGCAGCCTTGTTTGACATAACCTTTATTAATCTGAAACTCAATGAACAGTTATTTATGTAATTTATTGAATTTTAATTTCATTTCTATGGTGCGCCCCTCCATGACAGAGAAATTGCGCTCCCGGCCTGCCCTGCGCGTTTGCCGCTCTGCCCCACCGCCTCTCTGGCGCCCCCTCTCTGTGGGAAAAGAGCAGCACTCATGGCTTGACCTACATGCGCGCACCAATTCCTCGCCCAGGCCAGCCCTGGTCCCATCAGCACCATGAACAGCCTGGCTGAGGAGGCCGTTGCACCGCTGCCCTCAGGTGAGTGCTTTGGGCTGGGGGCACCCTCTTGTGGGGGGGGGGCATATTAGTCTTGTTCCAGCACTTAATAATTCTCTTGGCGGCCCTGCTCAAATAATCGCAGGCAGATAGCAACATGACCATTTATAGTGGCCAAGGATGCTTTTCAGCCTCTAAAATGCCCATTCTATGGCCGTTAAGTTTGAAAGGCCATAAAATGATTGGTCATTAAATGAGGACTATCTGTATTGAGGTCTTTCCACGTGGAAGACAGAAAGAACCACTTGTCAGTTTGTTACTGCTGCCTTTTGTCTACATATACAATTTTGGATGCAACATTTTCCAAAAGTTGACTTTTTGCAAGGAAGGGTAAAGGTAGTCCTGTAGACTCGAATGGCAGAATTTTGAATCTGGGTTGTCAGTTCCCATTTTTGGGTTGGTTGTAATTTTTGAATGGTCACTAAACAAGGTCATAAATTGAGGACTACCTGTATAATCTCATGGAAATATCTGAACAGCAACCCTATTATAAAAACTAAAACAGATTTTCTTGGACCCTGATAACGTTTTTCTTTCTCAAATTCCCAGAAATAATACTTAAATAGCAGGAAGAGAAAAGAAACTAAGTTCACTTTTTTGGTCCATCTGTGCCCCAAATTCAACAGCTTTTTTCCGAAAATAAAGAGAGGCTGCCTGAGTCTTACTGGATGAGATCAGAAGACCATCAACCAATTATTATTTTTTAACACATTAAGCTCTAATACCTCAACTAGTCTTAACATATACATTTTTAAATCCATTAATAATTGGTGGGTTGCATTGCAAAAGTCAGAGAAGTGGAAATAATTACATTACAGTTGCTACATTGGTTCCAGAAATGTGAATAGTAAATTCTATTAAAATGGGAACAAAATAGATTTGTTCTCATTTTTCTTTTAGGGTAGCTAATCACAATAATGTATTTGTTCTAGTGTGGCATTTGTTGTATTTTTATCTCCTCCAAGAAGCTTACGGATTGTGAGTTCTAGCCCCTACTTAGACATGAAAGCCAGCTGGGTGACTTGGGCCAATTCTTCTCTCTCTCAGCCCTATGTGGTTTTTGAGGATAAAAGTATGTTCATCAACTTATTGAGAATGAGTGTCATAAATCATGCTCGTTGTTTAGTGGGTCATCACATGTCCATCCTGATATTTTTTGGTGGTTGTTAATTAAACTTATTGATTGCAATGGTTTTTTCTTTTTCTTTTTGCTGAAAACTGGAAACTGTGGGACACTGCAAATGGCCATAAATGTGGATCACTTGCCAATTGCCCAAAATGCAATCAGTGACTGTGGGTGAGAGAGAGAGATGTCGCCTTTGAAACTTCAAATCTGCATCGTAAGTAGTTTTTCCACCCGTAACCAACCAGCTTTCCTTCTGGAAAAGCTTGGGTCATATTTAGACATTGCTGACTTGGCCAGGGGACATTCTGAGTGTGGCTTAGCAGCAGCCAATCTATCCTGTCGTAAGAACTGATCTATATGTATTTTAATCTCACCCACCTGCTCTACAAAGGTAGTCTCTCACCTGAGATGATGACATGGCAATATGGTAAAACTCGCCTCGTCCCCCTTGAGGTATGGCTCGGACAAAAAAGAACTTCTTGCCATCTTTAGAGAAGATGGGCTCTTCATTCTGCAAAATAACGAGAAAGTGCAAATGAAGTTTATACAGATCAGAGGTGGGTATTCAGCAGGTTCTAACCAGTTCTGGAGAACCGGTAGCAGAAATTTTGAGTAGTTCGGAGAACCGGCAAATGGCACCTCTGACTGGAGATTTTACAGTATCCTTCCCTTGCCATGCCCACCAAGCCACACCCACAGAACCGGTAGTAAAAGAAAATGGAATCCCACCACTGATACAGATGATGTAAAACAGGTAGGGAGAGGGAGAGAGGAAGAGGGAGGGAGAGAGAGGGAGGGAGGGAGGAAGAGGGAGATGGAGAGAGAGGGAGGGAAGAAGAGAGAGGGAGA